GCACACACACAGACGAACAGACACACACGCACACACACACACACACCACACACACACACACCACACATACACACACACACGCACAGCCACACACTGTGACACACACACACACACACCCACGCATGCACGCACGCACGCACACACACACACAGACACGCACGCGCACGCACGCACGCACGCACGCACGCACGCACCCACACACACACCCACACGCACACACACACACACACACACACCCACACGCACACGCGCACGCGCACACGCACACGCGCACGCGCACGCGCACACGCACACGCACACGTGCACGTGCACGTGCACGCACACGCACACGCACACGCACACGTGCACGCACACGCACACGCACACGCTGGCACACGCACACGCACACGCACATGCACACGCACACGCACACGCTGGCACACGCACATGCACACGCACACGCACTACACGCACACGCACTACGCTCACACGTGCCCACGCACGCGCACGCACACGCGCACGCTCACCCGTGCCTACGCACGCGCACGCACACGCGCACGCACACGCATGCACGCACACGCACACAGACACACAGACACACAGACACACAGACACACAGACACACAGACACACAGACACACAGACACACAGACACACAGACACACAGACACACAGACACACAGACACACACACACACACACACAGACGCAGAGACACACACAGACACAGACACAAACACAGACACAAACATATAAACACACACCCACGTGCAAACACCCACGCACGCACGCACGCACGCACGCACCCACGCACGCACGCGTGCCCGTGCACACGCGCACGCGCACGCGCACGCACACGACACGCACGCACGCCACACACAGACACAGACACGCCACACACCCACACGGACACGCGCGCACACAGACACCCACACACACACACATACACACACACACAGACACACATTGCACTTAACCCATAAACCCTAAACCCTAAACCCTAAACCCTCAACCCTAAACCCTAAACCCTAACTAACCCTAAGTAACCCTAAGTTAATAAAGTAATACCCTAACTTAGACTAAACCCGAAACCCTAAACCCTAGAGAGACACTTAACAGACACTGGTTTCCAATGTGCACTCTGCGGCCCGCCTTCCAGGGTGGACACGATCGAGCGCTTCTTCAAATGGCATTTGACAGACGACACAATCTTCTCCACTTTGCTCCAGCCTGTGATCGGACCGTCATAGCCCACGCATAGACCTTCCAGTGCCCGAAACTCATACATCAAGTCCTCCGAGCAGAGGAACTCCTCCCCGAAATTGTCCATGAACTGGATGGCGCTCTGGGAATAAGGTGCCTGACGCTGCAAGAGATGACCGAATTCTTAAGGTTGCTATGCACATGCCGGCCGGGTTGACTACTGAAAGGGTTGCGGCGCCTCGGTCCCGGAACTTGTCACCTGCTGAAACCAGTTGTACAGGGCCTCCTTGCCGGCCTTCAGCTTGCCTTCCTTCTCCAAGACTTTCTTCGTGTAGGTAACACGCGCGGCAATCTGGCTGAAAGTCAGTCTGCACACACTCTTTGACTTGACCGCTTCGTCCATCTTGAAGCCTGCGCAGTCAAAAAAAAGGTCGATGCCACACAGGCGTGAGCCCCGACTCGTTCAACAGGGCTTGGGGGTCAATCAATGGCTAGGCACTCTCAAAACAAACTGCGGGCATCAATCGCAGCCTGCCAGCAATGCTCCGGATTCCGAACGGGCTGCGTGCCATTTCATCGGGCAGCAGGACACCTGCCTCACCCAGGTCTTCATCTGCGTGGACAGCTCCTTCGGACCCAGGCTACTTTTGACTGCGTCTTCGTACTGTCGGAGGACGCCGACCATGATGCCCAGAGCCATCTCCTCTCCCCAAATGATGCGGATTTCCTCTTCGTCCGGGTAAGTGTTCAGGGAGGTATCGGCAACCACGACACCAATCTCCGCGCTGGCCAGGGACGCGTCGGCTACGATCTGGGACTTGGAAACGGTCCTCACAGCCTCCCAATTTAAGGATGTCGCCGCTGTGGAGAATGACAACCAGAACAGGCTCCTAAGAAATGTCACTCAGACTTGCTGACACGGATGAAGTATTGTTGTTTTAATACATGCTTGAAAACTTACTTTGGAACAAGCAGCCCGCCGGCCATGAGCTGGCCCTTGTCGGACGATGCAATGGACGCGAACTGATTAGGCAGCACCGGCGCAATCGATGCGTTGCCGGCTTGGCCCGGCCTCGTCAAGTCCTGTCGGGGATTTACACAATTTTATCATCTGAGGTTCCACAAACACAGCGCAGGCCTCTTGTCCAATGCAACCCTCCGATCTTTTCTGTCTGCCGTGACCCCGTGGCGCGCCCCTCTATCTGTCTCAAACTTTTCTGCACAAAGGGACTCGTCCGACAGCTTGCACAGACTGGGCACACATACACCACGAGTGCTTGACTCCTAAATTACGTAACTAGTCTTCAGTCGTTCCGGGTTCCGGAATCCGGACTGTGCTGCGTTGGACGAGTATCGTTCTACACTGCAAACTATACAATGCAGCAATTACGGCCTCGCTGGCTCTTCTATCTGGCAATTCTTGTACAGCCAATCCCAAACATTATCCGGCGTGATCAGCTTGGAGCCTTTCGGCGGCGGATAGGACTTGGTCACTTTCCATTTCCAGTCCGGTCGGCCAGCAACCTCGGCCAGAAGTGCAGCCAAACTGCGAAACTTCTTCACGAAGGGCTCCGTCAGGTACAAGGACCTATCAGGCAAGCTTTGGTTGCTCAGTCAGAATCCGATACAACTCGCAAGAAACAATATTATTAACAAGTACAAATTCTAATAAAAGTACAAACTCGTACCGCTGCTGCCAAAATGCTGCTTCACCACGGTCTCCGGACGGGGTCGCCAAGCGACGTGCCTGGACTTTGTCAAGTCCGTGTCCTCTGCGACGATCTTGCCCACGAGCATGGCGTGAGCCGCTCGCCAGTCGGGCTTCTCCAGCTTCTTGCCCGTGACGATGATGTCGGCCTTGTGCAAATCATCGGTCCGACGCTGGCCAGGCATCTCGGATATGCCTTTGGCACCGATGTAGCACGTCGCCTTGTCAAATCGTCGGGCAGGACCTCGGGCAGCATGCTTGGCCATCTCGTCGTGGAGGCGTTGCTCTCGGGCAGTGGCACACTTCTTCGTGAAGGTCTTCAGGGGCGCCGTCGTGCTTCCCCGCAGGCCTTGCCTGCGGGTTTCCCTCGCCTCCGCAATCTTATGCTCACGCTTCTCCGCAAAAGCTTGCTTCAAATCTTCATGCCTTTCGGTCCACACGGATGCCACATCTGCCGGACCAGGCATGGACGCGCCGAACATGGTCTTCGATCTGGAAGGCCTGTCGGACTCGGCAGCAAGCCTATCCAAAGCTGCACGCTGCTTTTTGCGGAGGCTGGCTTCGGTCTGGCCCCGGTCTGCCTTTCGCTTCTTGGCGACTCCTCGGGCTAAGGTCCCAAGCTCCGAGCCGTACGCACCACGGGGCTTGCCAAAAAACTCCACGTACAAGCCCGCGGCTTGACGAAAGAGCGGTCGGGCAGCGGCCACGTCCGAGATCTCGGACACCTGCAATCTGTCTCCTGCACAGCCGTCAGCGCAGGGCGCAATATAGGGCTGAGGCGAAGTTACAATTACAACCAGACAGAATCAAAAAGAAACACGTGTTCGCGCTGTTCTCGTGCCGAGCTGCGCAGGCGCCAGATAGACTGCTGAGACACCCGCGACGCGTCTTGTCGTTCTAGCTCGCTGAATTGCGACTCCACGCCTTGCGTGGAATTCACTGCAGCCGCCTGAAACCGGACCAAAGGGATCCTGAGACAAGCATGGCCACTGGGGGTCTATTTATTATTAATTAAATACTACATCGGGCAACCACCCTAAAGTCCATTTAAACCCTAACCCTAAAACCCAATAATGCAGTTAGACGTGTTGCAAAGCGGTCACAGGGCGATTCCGTCGGCTTTTCTTTCATCGTTCCAGGACAGACCGCCAACTTTCCAAGTTGTCGCCTAACTTTCGCCACGTGTAGACGAGTGAGTCCTGGGCAGAAGCTCTTTCAACATCCCATGTGGTACTCTGAAATCTGAAGGGTTCGTGACTTTAAATTAAGGACCGGTCCTTCAGCTCCAGGAATTGCTTGAGGGCATCGTCCTCGCCAACCCTCAAAACGACCGCCAGTCTGCGAATCTTTCCTTCGAGCGACTGTACCCTGGCACTTCGGGCGGCTTTATCTGCTGGGGTCTTGCCAAACTTCTGCAGCGCAGCCCACTGCCCGATGTTCAGGCCCTCCATCTGCAGCATGATCTCCTGTGACGGAAACTCGCTGAGGACGCCGGAGCGTACGGTCTTGGCCTCACTCACAGTTCAGAAACCAAACACACTGCGCTTCAAACTCCCTGAAAACTCGTTCAAAGTCTACCGAAAAAAAACAAATCTGTTGGAGGCTGGGCGCCCATGCTGCAACCCTGGCGTGACAGTCCCGAATCGCATCTTGCAAACCCTCCGGCATGAACTCCTTGCGGGCCTCTTTCATCTGGTCGATGACAACCTGCGTCCATGTATGCTTGTTGTCGGCCCGCCAGATGTTGCCTTCTTCAAAAAGAGTCGCCAGCATCTGCAGAAATTCTTCGACCAGAGACGCCAATGTCGAGGGATCAGTGCCTTCGGCCTCTATACTCCGGGTAAAATCCAGAACAAGTTCCTCCCCGTCACACACAGCTGCTGTGGCTGCCACCGTCTTGAAGTTGAGCATCTGCAGCTTGTCGGTTGCCCAGTCTCGCAGCGCTGGGGTTTTCCCGGAGGTCTGTCTTTTCCTCAGCGCCACCATCAACGCAAGTAGCTGAAGAAGCAACCGTCGTTCTGGAGCAACTTGGCTGGAGAACCGCGCCTTCCCATACCTTAGTTGAATCAAGGCTTCGGTGTAAGTTCTTACTGTTCGGACGTAGGGTTTGATTAGTACTCGAAAAGTGATGGCGCGCGAACAAGCTGCTGCAAAGACAGCATCAGAGGCATCTTTCGGTCCGGCCTCTTCTCGGTCTCTTCCTGAGCTTTTCGGGCCAATTCGAAGGACGTTCTGAAAGCCTGGCAATGTGTCAGCTCCTTGGCAACGGACATCGGCCCACTCACGAACTTCTCTTTGAACGCTCGGAGCACCTCGTCGGCCTCAGTCGCATGCTTCATCGTGTTGATGACGGCGTGTCCCCGGTCTCGCACAATGGCAATCAGACCCGGGAACACCGTGTCCAGCTCGCGGCATGCCAGTTGAGCGTAGGCCGCACCATCTGCGCACTGCGCCTGCACACTGCGAGAGAACTGAAACGCGCTGGCCTCGTCCTTAACGCCTCGGACATCGTTCAAGGCGCCCGCTCCGCGAGTAAAAAAGATGTCTATTGCCTTGCGGATGCCGTCGGCCAGCTCCTTGGCGCCTCCGGGGCAGGACGTGAGGGCCAGGAGTCCACATCGGTCTTCGAGCTGGTCGTTCACGGCACGGTATCGGACTGCCACATGACGCCCACGGCCGTCGTGCATCAAACCGATGGACAGGTGGCCCGCGTTCTTGGAAAGAAACAGTCGCTCCTGCTCGCGTCTGGCTTCGGCCAAGCACCACACCATCTGCTGCACCTTGTGAGACGACAAGCCGGGAACGTCCAGCGCGGAAGCTTTGGCGGAGTCTGCAGCCTTGACACTATCAAAAACCTTCATCCACAAGCTTTCGGGCAAGGCAGGGGGCCAGTCAGATTGCCCGGTATTCTTGTCGGTCCTGCGCTGCTTCCTCCGGCCATGTGGCTTTCGGTCCTGGGGTTCATGACGCATCGCATCGGGCTTGTCGTCGGGCTGAGTAACGGTGGCCTTGACGTTCGGAGCAAGGGCCGGATTCTTTTCCTCCAAGTAGATGCCCGAATCACTCGCTGGAGTCTCCGGGCCCAACTGCACGCAGGCATCTGGCAGAGCATAGGGCTTGCTGGCAAGTTGATGTTGAGCGCCTGGCTGGAAGCTTCCCCTTGGGCTAACAGCTGTCAGCAACCTGCCACGAAAAGACTACTCGCCAACTCAACCCTTATTATTTTTAATCCCTTGCAGCGCCTGCAGCATGCTGAACGATGTTCGAAAACTGCAGCGTGCTCTCCACCTCGAACCTCGACCACCGCGTCGAGCTGACCAGACCCTCCTTCGCAGCTCGGGCGCAGAAGAGGCACCCCAGGGCCCAAGCCTTGGGAGATGTTGTCTGGGAACAATGGCAAAAAACAAAAAAAAGTCCCAAGCAGCAAGAACAACAATTCTGAAGGCAGACCTAGGCTCCCCCCCCCAGGCCCTCGGTCGGACGGACAGCCATACGTGACCAGAAGGACTGCTTAGGCGCTTCAGCCACCTTCCATGCAGGCGATGGAAGGCACACCGCCCGAACTTCTGGCAAGTGGCGCTCGTGCACTCGCCGGCATGAGTCTGCCAGTCGCTCATTTGCGGCGCATTGTATCGAAGCTGCACAGCAGTGGCAATGTCGTTCTGCAGGTGGCTCTTTCGGACTGTCCGGCCTTTGGATCTAGCCTCGGCCCGCTTGCTGCGCGGTGGGCCGGGCTCTTCGATCTCGTCCATGAGACCCTATTCTATCATTCATAAGTATTATTGAATTCTTACTAGCTGCTGCCAGACTTCTGACAAACATCCTCAACTTCATGTCACTAATATTTCTACGTATTCATGACGGCCAGCCCAAAAACAAACCCGAGCAACCCCTCGAACTCCTTGACATCAGGATTCGCTTCCCGTGTCGGGCTGAGCGACACCGGTTTGAACCATCACAACACGCAGCGTCTGTCAGACAACTCAAGCCAGCACGACTCACTGAAGCAAACTCAGCAATCCTCGGGCCTGCGGCGCCCCTGCGTACTTCGACAAAATCTCGCGCAGCCTCGTGCGAATGACGCCTGGTGTCCACGGGTGTATCGCCTCCACCAGCTCATCCACAGAGCAGCGAAGCATCCTCCAGGGGAATGAAATCGGGGTCAGTCTAAATATTTTGGAGAGACCCACAGCAAGCATGACGTGCATTTGCTTGGTGTCCTCTTCGCGTCCTGCTGCAACGCTTGCTGGTTCTCGTTGGGCCGCCGCCGCTTCATCTGACGCAGACATTCGTCGTCGGACGAGGTCGCAGCGGGCTTGCTGGGCGCGGCTGCTTTCGCCTGTGACAGGCCCGCATCGGGCTTGCTGGCCGTCGCGGCGGGCGACGGCGCGGCTGCTTTCGCCTGTGCGGCTGGAGCAGGTTCCTGAGCAGCTTTGGCTTTCGTCATGATTCCGGTCCAGGCCACACTATACTCTGACCGACGGGCTCGAGCAAACATGTGCGGAGGCAGCTTTCATGACAGAGTCGGAAGATGCCACGTTTCAAATATTCAAAGTCTGGGGCCGAGCTCCGCACGGCACAAGTTTGGCTTCGGCCTGGCACATCTGCCACTCTCACAGAAGCAAATCATTGGACGGGACTCTTCGAAAGGCCTCACGATGACCAACGGTCTGCTTCTGGCGGAAGTTGCCTGACAAGCTGGTTTTCGCAATTGTGACGCATGGACTGGAAAACTGCTGAATCAAACTGGACTTGTCAAGACAAAGCGGTCTGTCTGTCTGTTGTGTTTGGGGGGCTTGTGCCTCACACCCTGCATTCTCCTGCCCGTGCTGGCGAGAACCGAACCTGTTTTAACAATTTTGGACCAATGAAAACTGTTAAAACAATCATGGTTCCGTGCCCTGAGCTGGTTTGTTTTTCCCGGCGGGCCAGACCGGCCCCCGACTGTCGGCCCGAGTTAGTTTGGGACGGCTTAGTTGAAACTGAGACCCCTTGCTAAAGCCCAATGTCCAGGGACATTGGGTTTTAGCTCGGGCCGCCCGGTCGTGTTGAGTTAGTTTCGGAGGTGGGTTCCCCTTATGGTTTCGTTTTCGGATCCATAATGGCAAAGCGCCCGCCAAACTAACTCAACAGGACCGGTCCGCCCGAGCTAAAGGGCAATGTCAGGGGACATTGTACTTTAGCTAGGGGGATTTCCCGAAACTAGCTTCCAGCCTCAAGGCATTCAATTCAAATTCAAATTCACAATTTTCCCTGGTGGAAAACTGCGAAACTAAACTCAGTCCTCGGTTTTCTTTGCAGGTGTCGACGTTTTGGAATCGGTCCCAGATCGAGCCCGTCGCAAAGTGATTCTGATGCAGATATTGCAGAATTCCCTGAAGAAAAACTGCAAAACTCGTCACGGTTCGAATCGAAGTGATTGTTCAGCAAGCAAGAAGTATGGTGGCGCGTTAATTTAACGGGAGAAACGGAACTGGAGGGTACCTGAGGCCGCGGCCTTGGGAAGCGCGAGGAGAAACAGCGCGAATCATCAAAGCCTACAATCATTGTCGTTACGCAAACGTGCAACATCATCGGTCACGACTTGAATAGCTTGCTCCAAGCCCGGACCACGCACATCAGGTCCGGACGATCGGTCTGCGCGACTCAGCCTCAAATGCACGCTCAAGACCGGCTGCGCAGGCACGTGACTCGACCGGGGGCTGCAAATCCCAGTTTTCGCGCGACCTGCTGTCGATCAGTCGACCTACGACCAGCAGGTTGCAGGGTTTCCCCGGTCTCCTGCGAACCGCGTCCAAATTTTCTGTCTCTGCTCAGCCGTTCTTTCTCTTCGGTCGCCCTTGAGCAGAACGTGCCTTCTTGGCACGGTGGCACTTTCGGACCTTCGGCGCGTAGGAAGCCTTATTATTATCATGCAATGTGGCAAGCAACACTACCGCGAGCCTTCGGTTCCACCTTTTGCAGCTGCCCTTTTCTGTTCGTCCTGAGCACTTCGGCTCCAGACGAGCAGAATCATGGGTGCCTCTGTGTGCAGTTCTAAGGCGGTCAATTCGTCAAAAATGCTTGTCGGGTAGCTTCGTCTGCATGATGAAACCATCGGCCTTTGCGGTGGATGGGCGTACCAGGCTGAAAGCGAAGACCCAGGCTGCGGCCGCAGCTCTGACATGCTGCGTGTTACCCAGCATCTCACGCATGCATTGGTCTGATACGGGGGCGGCGAGCTGCGGGAACTCGTGCAAACGCAGGCCCTCCTGCCAGTCCAGGAGTCTGGCTTGGCTCTCAGCCTTGCCTTCGGGCAACAAAGCCATGGCCGAGCTTCGTGCCCAACATGGACAGACTCCATCGCCCCGTCGGGCAAAACCTGACTCACAGGGTGTGGTCACGATATGATGTTATCTCAGGGTGACAGCAGCGACAGCCCGCCTGGTGACTGGGACACGTCCACGACGACGAACTTGCGCTTGCGCGAACTGGGCCTGCCCTCTACTACTGTCTGTCGAAAGACTTCACGCTGTCGGTCACTCAGAATGAGCGATCCTTAGCTTCAGAATTATGTTGGTCTCCTTCTGCTCTACCAATTAATTAATACTAATACGTGTCCCTAAGTCTCCACCAAGACGCGTACCGTTTGCCTGGGGGCAGGCCCCGGGTATTTGCTTCCGATCTTCACCAGCTCGGACCAAACGTGCTGAAGAACTGTCCACACCTTGCTGCCAAAATAGCTTCGGGCCCACAACAAGGTCAGCTCAAGAGAGGATCTTAACCCTAAACCCTAAACTGGCCCTAAACCGTAACCCTAAACCCTAATTCCCGGGCCCCTAAACCCTAATTTCATTGACACTGTCAACACCGTCCTCGGACTCTTCGATGCAGCAATCGCGCCGCACCAAGATAAACCACACCCTGGGCCGTCGGACGGAAGCCCCAATCTGGCAAGCGTCGAAGTCCAACTTGGAGGCAGCATCATCACGTGCATTTAAAATAACGCCGACTCAGTCAGACAAACTTAAACCGTGGCGCCAAAGCACAATGACGACGTTGTAGGCGTCGGCCACCTTCAGAGTCATCAGCTTGAGGACTTGCTTCATGAACTTCCAGATGCCTCGGACGTTCTCGAGTACAGCCACCTTCGGGCGCTTTGCACGCACCACATCCAAAATGGCTGGCCTTGGTGATCACAGCTGCTTGCCAGCCGTGGAAGTTATTAATCATGTTATAATTAACGATGCGAAATTTCGAAGCACTAGACAAGTTGCAGAACCTTCGAGCGACTGTCTTTGAAGCCCTGCTGGTTGCCCAAGACGGAGAAGCTCTGGCATGGGAAGCCAGCAGAATAGCAGTCGAAGTCGGGCAGCTTCGCGACGTCGTGCTGGGTGGTGTCCGTGAACATTCGGTCTGGCGAATCTTGGCTGTCGCCACTAGTAGTCTGGGATAGTAAACCCGTAACCTAAACCCGTAACCCTTAACCCTGCCCTACAGGAATATTGCGCATGATAATTGCAGGAAAGGCTCGGTTCGCCTGAAGTACACGTCGGCACTTCTCATCGGCCTCGCACGCGTACACGTGTCTGCAGCGCTGGCCCAACGCCTTCAGCGCGTGCACCGCGGCATCCAGGCCGGAGCAGTCGGTCGCCACTCGAAGCTGGCCGTGGCCCCAAGATCGACGGGGGGGGATCGCCCCCATTTCGGCCGCTAGCCTAATATTCATCTTGCTAGTCGGTCTGAGCCACAATCGGCCGCAGGAGGTTCCTGCGCAGGATGCTATTACGTCAGACAAGCAATGCGTTGCTGCAGAATGCTGAGGTCTCATTTCTGAGCACACTAGTCGGTCTCACTCGCAACCCCACGTCAGCCGAGACTCGAATTTCTGAGCACACTAGTCGGTCTCAGTCGCAACCCCACGTCAGCCGAGACTCGATGAGGAAATTCGGAAGTTTGACATTGATTCCCATAATATGGACATGACGACCTTATTATTTGAGCAATATCTGTATTGACATTCAACCCGATCTGAAGAATCTTCCCTTCAAGTCAGCGCTCACGCTTAGGTTTCTGCCTCGTGCTTGACAGGCATTCAGGCTCAGCCTCGTCGTCGCCGTTTTTGCGCTTCTTGCTGGGGGACCCTGCCGCCTGCTTCTCGGAAGGTTTCGGCTCGGTCTTGACGACGGCAAACAGCAGCTTCGTCTGCTTCGGCTCGGTCTTCACATAATTTGTGATGGGGAGCTTCGCCTCCTCGTTCTTGGCTTTGACAGGCACCTTGATGGTCTCGATCTTCGGCCTGGGGTCGACCTGGGGCTTGGATCGGATCCCAAGTCAAATCCAAGTTACACTGTCCACTGTTAGACAGAACAGAACTGTGACCCGCAACCCCGCCCGAAATCCAGGCCTCGTCCTCGTCGTCGCTCCAGCGATGCCATGTTACGTGAGCCCTCCGCTTTCTGACACTGCTCGTCGAGCTGGTCCTGGCGCGAAGTCTGAGGTTGAGCTGACAATCGGCCTGCTGCTCCGCCTGCAGACTCCTAAAGGCTTCGACGTCTCTGTCGTCTGGTGTCACACGACCCGACGAGCCAGCGATCGAGGTGAGGCATCGCATGAAGCGTGCGACCTCGTCCTCTGCGGCCAGCTGGAGCTTCTCCCACGCGTCGGGCTTCATCTTCAAGCCACCTAGCAACCCCAGGCTTCTCACCGCCTTTTTGAAGGCAGCCTTGGGAATGAGGACCCTGGTGGACCTGCCGAAACGATGTATCGATCTTTCGAACTGACGCTTGTATTTCTGCCCCTTGAAAGACCCACCGCGTCGGGGAAGCTCCCGGCCTCGTGTCCGCACGTTCCCGGCCGCATCGGCCGCAGAACTTGAACTTCGATCTCCTCTGTGCACTCCGACTTTCCTCCTCTGCACAACGTCGGCCAGCTTGGTGTTCTGCTGGACATGGACCTGACCAGAGGTTGTTCGATTCTGAGACAACTAGTATTCAAGTGGCAGGCCCAGCGCAGCGCAGATAAACATGATTGCCCCCCCCCCCCCCCCACGCAAGCCCCCCCCCGCCCCCCCCGCCCCCGCGGCCCCCAACCCTTCCGGCACCGACACTTTTCCGAGACTGAAAATTTGCAAAAATCCCTCGGTCTGCCACGTCTATAATTCGGACAAAAACCCCGCCCAACCCCCAATCCTTCTAAACCCTCCTTGCCGACACGAAAAAAAATGGCCTCCCATTCCAGTGACAGAGGAGTCCGACAATGTGTTCACACTGCCGGACTTCAGGGCCCAGCAGGCACGTTAGCCCATCGTCCTGCTGTCATACAGGGCCACACTCCCTGCGTTGGCCTCAAACCCCTTGCCGCGAGCTGTACCCGACCCATCTAACCCTGGGTCAGCGTACAGCCCCCGGCCCTCTGCCACACCCCCAGGCATTATCCCATCCAACGGGATAATTTACCCGGCCAACGGGCCTGCACACTCCTGCATTATCGTGTGGGCAGTCGTGTGTTGGTAGGGGTCACACCCTCCCTCCTTCAACCTCGGCCTCCCAGCCAAACCCTAAATCCTCACGGTACACCCTTCCAGACTCATGCCGAAATGGCACATTGCGAGCCCGAAAACGCCCTTTCAGACCCTTCCCAACGCCCAAATTGCACATTTCCCAGCCCGAAAACTGCGAAAACGCATCTGTCTGGTATAAATCCTCACAATAATAGCCCCCCCTCCCCAATATACAGCCATAATTTAGGGGTACTTATTATCGGGAGGTAGGGAAACAATTTAATAATATTGCTAGGCAGAGGGGATTCCATCCTTCCAGACATGTTACTGTTTTGAAGCCAAAATGGCAGACTCCGAGCCCGAAAACGCCCTTTCAAACCGTTCCCAACGCTCAAATTGCACATTTCCCAGCCCGAAAACTGCGAAAACGCATCTGTCTGGTATAAATCCTCACAATAATAGCCCCCCCTCCCCAATATACAGCCATAATTTAGGGGTACTTATTATCGGGAGGTAGGGAAACAATTTAATCATATTGCTAGGCGGAGGGGATTCCATCCTTCCAGACAGGTTACTGTTTTGAAGCCAAAATGCCGACTCCGAGCCCGAAAACGCCCTTTCAAACCGTTCCCAACGCTCAAATTGCACATTTCCCAGGCCGAAAACTGCGAAAACGCATCTGTCTGGCATAAATCCCCACGATAACCCTCCCCCCTCCCCAATATACAGCTATAATTGCGGGGTACTTATTACTTGAGCGGTAGGGTAGCTATTTAATATTCGGGATTCCGTCCTTCCAGACCTGTTTCAAGCCGAAATGGCACCTTCCAAGCACGAAAACGCCCTTTCAACCCTTTCCAACGCCCAAACTGCACATTTCCGAGCCCGAAAACTGCAAAAAGGCCTCTGCCTGGCGTAAATCCTCATGGTAGGCCTGTATTGCCACCGAAATGGCCCGTTCCCAGCCCCAAAAAGGCCCTTAACTTACCTTTGAAACGCTCAATTTGCAGATTTCATGGCCCGAAAACTGCAAAAACACCTCTGTCTGGCCAAATTGGAGCTTCCGAGTCGAAAGCGCCATACATTTCCAAGCCCGTACACTGCAAAAAGACCTTGTCTGGTAGTAAGAAGCCTTCCCCCATACGCCCCCTTCCAGAGCCTTTTGGACATTGAAATTGTATCTTCCAAGCCCGAAAAATGCCCTTCCGACGCGAAAATCGCACATTTCCAGGCCCGAAAACTGCAAAAACACATGTGTCTGGCGTGAATCCTCATGATACGTCCGTCCGAACCCATTTTGCACGTTCCGAGCACCGAAACGCCATTCCAGACCCATTTAACGTCGAAATTCCAATTCCAGAGAAAAAAACAACGCTGCACGGCACAAAACAGCAAGTTTGAGGACACACGCCCCCTGCACCCGACCCCCACGCGTAAACCCTAGACCCTGAACCCTAAGCCCTAGGCCGTCCCACAGCCTAAAATCCCAAACCCTGAACCCTAAAGCCTAAATAACCCTAAACACGAAACCCTATTAAAACCCTCTAAAACCCTACATTTTAAACCCCAGAACCCAAAACCCTCAACCCTAAACCCACAGACATGAACAGGAAACACAAAAAAGACATTGCTGGCAATGACATCACAGATTTCCTGGTGTGAAATTTGCAAAAGCCTGGTTGCTCGGCCTTCGAAGTAGGAGAGCAGAAAGAGGGATCCAGAGATCCGAGCCGGACCAGCGTTCGGACCATCGCGCTAGTCTTATTCAGATACTATGTCAGGTTAGACCTCGAGCCTCGGGCTACAGCAAGTCAAGACGTCGAAGGCCACAAGCTGCTGACTTCAAAGCGCAGTGTGGAAATCTGAGAAGCGTGCTTTCTCACTGAAGCCGTCGGTCTCGCTTCGCTTCTCTCGACCTTGGCAAAGCAACTTCCATGTCCATGTCATGCACAAGCGCGGGCGGCGGCGATGGGATCAACCAGGTCCCAGGCAAGCACTGCTCTGTCCTCGCGCGCGGAAGAGTACCGAGCATTCAATTGAATGCCAGGCACTCCTCCGTGCGCGAGGACAGAAACCGGCTGCAGAGGCAGCGCTGGGGTGGCAGGGCTGCCTGACGCTCCAGCGCTGGCCGCAATTTGACTCCTGCAAGCGCAATGGCATGGAACGGTCAAGTCCGAGAAGCTTGCTAGCTTTGCTGACACAATCCTGACTCGGTCCTGTGTAGGCAGAGGGGGACACCATCGCGATGGTATCGCGATGGTATCTCCCTCCACCTACGCCGTCCGCCTCACGCTGGCTCTGCTTTGAGTCCTGCAAGCGCAAATTAAGGGTTTGGGGTTGCAGTCAATCTGTAGGGTTTCAAATAAAATATTCAGGAAGGTGTTAGGTTTAGGGTTTTTCTTCAGTGTAGGGTTTACGTTTTTTTCTATCGCCTCCCTGCCTGTGCTGTGAATGGAGGGGTTGGTGTTTGGGGTTGAAGTTCTACGGTTTAGGTTCAGGGTGTGAGGCTTAAGGTTCGTCTAAGGAGGGTACACATCACAACCGCGTGAGAACATGCAAGGACGAGCCATCACAAACATGCAACAACACAGGCCTCGGACCAAGGACCCAACAAGGTTGCTCAAGTGGCCTCCCATGGTAGGGATCGACACACGGGGGCAACGCCATGATAGGGGGGGGCCAGCTGGCACGTTAGCCCATGTGTCCAGCTGTCATCAGCAAATGCCCACTGCTGGTTGGCCCCAACCCCCCCCTAGGCTCCGGGACCCACCGTGGCATCACCCGTCCCCACACCCGGCCATTGGTGTGTGAGCAGCTGCCAACCAGTGGGCATACAGCTGCTCATTGGTAGGGATAAGAACATGCAACAACAGAACAGCATCAAGCACATGAGCAACACGAAGGACCAAGGACCCAACAAGGTTGCTCAAGTGCCATCATCGGCCTTCTTCTGTTTAACCTTTCCATCCAAGTCCGCAAGGCATGACATCTTAGTTAGCACGCATCGGGCTCGCCGGATCAGTCTAGAAACACACCACGTGCTGCCAGAAGGCTGAGATGGTGGATCTTTCCCGGGCCCGGCAATGACGGTCTATCAACATGTCCATCCAAGTCCGCCAGGTACGGTGTCATCTTAGTTAGCACGCAGCGGGCTCGCCGGAGCAGTCAAGAAACACAGCACATGCTGCCAGAAGGCTGAGATGGTGGATCTTTTCCCGGCAATGACGGGCTATCAACGCTTTCGGCTCTCGCACTCGCACAAGGCAGGCTATCAACGGTTTAGGGTTTAGGGTTAGGGTTTCGGTTTAGGGTTTAGGAGGGTTTAGGGTTAAGTTGAGGTATGAGGGTCTAGGGTTTAGGGTTCATCTGCTCGAACTAGATAAAAGCGGCCTAGTCGTGGGCTCAGGAGTGGGGCTTTAAAAAACCTGCTTGAACAAAAATAACTAATCGTTCTTAGTCTTTTCAACCACAACCATTCCAAACACTTGCGGGAGTTGCAAACCCTAAAACCCTAAAAAACCCTAAAAAACCCTAAACCCTAAACCCCAAACCCTAAACCCTGACAGCTCCCAAATCGCAGATTTCCAAGGAACAAAACTGGTAACACCTAAACCAAGACCGACCCCAACCGTGCCCGAGCCTTCGGGCTGCTTCTGCGTCTGCAGCTGGCATCGACCTGCGTGGAAGGGAATCGATCTGCTCGCTCGTCAATGACTACTAGACTCTCTGAGCTGTGCCTCGGCCTCGTGCTGGAAGAGGTGCCAGCAGCACCAGCAGCAAAGGAACCGACGAGTTCCCGACGGACCCCATGATGTCGGAGCCACTGGCTCGGACGTCATCTGTCAGTCGGGAACTCGCACTTCCTTTGCCACTGGTGCAGGGGTTGACCTTGGCACAATCGGACCCTCGCCCTTGCGCACGAACATGGGGCACCGGTCCGAGTTCAAAGCTTCGGGCCTGGGAGCTGCGCAACGAGGATGATATTACTCTAAGCTTTCAACGACCATCTTCATTCGGCACCGGCCGGGGTTGGAAGCTTCGGGCCTGGCGAGCGGATTCGGACGCTGTCTATCGTCGGAAGAAGCGAACGTGAGGCACCGGCCGGTCTTCGGAGCTTAGGGCCTGGAAGCAGAGGGTCGCAACAAGGATGTGAGGAAACAGCTTAGGCTACTAGGCTTTCTGCGACGATGTTCTATCAGGCTCAGGACTCGGACAAAGGAATCGGAACTGACGCGCCAGCCGGAGTTCGAAGCTTCGGGCCTGGGAATGGATTCAAGCGCAAGAAGGCCAGGGATGTCATGGTTACGGGTCTTTCAGATTCAGATTCAGTCAGATTACATGGAGTCAACCGAACTTAACACTGCCACGTGCACTCTTTTTTGTCATCAATGTCGGCCCATTGTCGTTGTCAGTCTGCCTAGTAACTGGACGACGATGACTTTCGCTTGCGCTTC